TTGTTGTTCAGTCTTTTACTTCAGTAGGAAATAGAATCTCTTTTGCTTTCCTGATCTTAGCCCTGGTGAAATAAATTGTCTTTGTGGGTTGGTATTTACAACTTGTGCGTTGAGTTGGTTAGGAATCTACAGGTTTCTAAAGAAAACAATGTTATTTTGTGGATCTTTTTTGAACAGTGCCCGAGTAGGAATACCAGAATAGTGGAAAAACTTAGGTGGAAGGTTCCCATATGGTAAAAATAGGTAGCATGAGTCTAGTAACTGGAGTAGAATTATAAGACAATTTAGGTGCAACATAGCTAAAAGATAATAAGTAGAAGAGAGGAAGAAAGTGTTTTTTAGCTGATCGAATCTGATTTCAGGCCCGAGGAAAATATTCATCAGGCCTTTCATGCAACAGTATAACCGAACCTCAAAGCCTAGCAGTGAGATTCGAAAAACTACAAGTTTCCTTTACTTGTACTACTTATGTAAGACGTTCGACCAAAAAAAGTGAGGGAGCTTGTGTTTTTCAGTTGTTTTTTTTTGCGATTATTTTAAATTGTGTATCTTGCTGTTAAGCAAAGAGAAACCAAATTGGATAATTATAGGATGGGTTCAGCAAATTTGAAATCGAATTACGTCTCGTAGGATGCGCGGTACTACTTATCAGGCGGAATCCACCACAGAATATCAGGCCAGACGTCAGGCTGTATGAAAGGTCTTGCATCCTTGTCCCATTTTCTTAATTCTGATATGTGCGTATGAGGACTTAGGAATTGTCCTTGTGAGCTTGAGAGATGCAGAGGACAATCACTAATTATTCGTACTTGTTATATACCCACAAATATGAGACCAAGGAAGAACGCAGTAGTTGGATGTAGTGGTATATTTTCGAGATCATGCCAAGATATCGATGTGTTCCAACTAACTGGTCAGAGCGTCGATTATGAGCAGTGCAACACGACAGCGTGCCAAATGGTGTGGATGCTTGACCGTATGCCTTCAGCTTAGCCAGTTCGATAAAACTATGAAAGTCAGCATCAATGTTGAATCTCGTTGAACCCTAGGCTAATGATTCTGGGGAAGTATGTGACGCTCCAAGGATATCATCATTCGTTGTTTGATTATTTTTCTAATCTTCCCATGTTCATTTTATTTATAAACAAAGAAGAAGGCAAAACACCAGATGCAAAGCCCTGTGGGCCAAACGGACAATGCTGTAAGTAAACTGTGGTTTTGTTTTAGGGGGAAAACTGTTGATAAGCGATGGTTTATCAGGTCATTAACAGTTAACTATCGTCAACCGAAAATTCTGTGTCGACAATGTGCTCCAGAAAAAATATGAAAAAATCTTAGAATGTTTCCCATAACTTCTGAATTTCCGAGTCCGAAAATTCATCTTAGGGTCGATAGGGTGATGCAGAGGTATACAACTACACATTACGTTGTCCAATATCTGCACAATTTTTGAGTGTTGACCAGCTAATTATATCATTCTCCCTTACTACTTCTGCGGACCGACCCGAAGTTTCTACCGATCAAATAAATATGTTACCTCTCTGTGTGTATATTGTTCCAGCCATGCGTCGTTTATGTTTGACTAACATACGGTTACAAAGTATTCATGAGTCAAAGATATTAGACAATCTAACACATAAATCGATCTCAAAAGGGGACGAAGTCGAAAGTTTTCTAAAGAGTTTTCATTACAAATCGACATCACCCAGAGAACCATTGAGAACCTGAAAGTATGGAATTGCTGTTCCTTTTTAGTTAGGAACACGTCATCAATTACCCACAACGTCACAATAGATCCAACACATTACTGTCAGGTCTCACGCTGAAAGCGTTACTGTCCAATCACTGGGTTTAAATCCAAATGGCTTACATTTTTTCACCGTCTCTTAATTAATGGAATGGTGCCATTATCTTCCAGGGAAATCAGTAATTATTCGTCTTCAACCCAGATTTTTACGGAAATGTAGGTTATCGAATGCCTAACTGGAGTTCGAGAACAGCAAACTTGAGAAAAGCAGGCAGGTTCCAGACCTGGACGAGAGTACTTCAATAAGAATTTCACCCTCCAACAGGTTCCGGAACACAGGGACACCTACCGGCAGCCAACAGTTGTCGTATTTCTTGACCTACAGGCGGAATTTGACTCCGTCAAACATGAGACGTTGCGGCAGTGTCTGACTGTGAAGGAAGTACCGAGCAAGTATCTAGCTGTACTCAAAGCTCTCTACTCGGACTCATACACCCGTGTCAATGCTTTCAGGGAGTTATTTTGCCAGGAACGTCCACTTAAACCGTTTCTATTTAACTTCGTAATAGACATAACTTCAAGTATATCTAACTTCACACAAACTGGTCTACTCCCTGAGGGTCAACTGGGTGGCCTGGAGTATGCAGAAAATAGTGTCCTGCGGCATGGAGACGCTAATTAAATGCAGGGTCTTATGAACGTGTTCAGCATAAATCTGAGTTTGTTTGATCTGCGTTTCGCTGGTACCCCACGACTCATCGGCTACAAGTACTCGCAGTTTAAAGATAGGAATGAAGTGGTTAAATGAGTCAACCACTTCACTCACCTGGTGAGTTTCATCAGCCCGAACGAACCAAATAGTTACATTCCAAGAAAACATTTTGAAAACTTGCTGCTGAGCTGACAATTGGAATGTGGGAAAATCCTAGAATTCCTGATAGGCATAGCAAGACGCAACCCTTTACGATCAAAACCGTGATACCTAAAAGCAGATTTACTTGTTCACATACAGATGGTCATTAGTGATTTATTATCTAGCTCTGCCTTTCACTCGGCAAAATCACTACTTACACGTTAGTTCGTATGTTGGCAAATAGGAGTATTGTACTAAGGTGCAAGGACATTTACAGATTATATGCATTACTTTGAGTGTCTCCTTTTTGTTCGATATTACCCAACAAAATCTCCTATGCACCAATGTTTCAATAATCTTCAAATATGCCGATCGTTTCAATGCACACATCAGTTCATGTGATGTCATCTAACAGGCCCGATATTGCGAACAAGAATGTACGGAAATACTAACCCTCTTAGGGCCAATCCCAGTTTTAATAAATAAAAAGAATGTATGTAGTTTTTTATGATAACGATTGGGTGCAAAGAAATAAACCTCTTCTTTTCAACGAAAACACATTCTCACTTAGCTCTGTTGATATTGTACACGATGTACACTGCGTAAACCACATTTACACCTTTTTGTCACTGAAATCCTCCATGGTTATCAGAATAGCATCAATGAGAAATGTAATGGGGTAAATGAAAAACCCTGTCAAACATCTGTTTCTCATATCGGAATACCAAGACTATGTGTTTTTCTTAGTTTGTGTGGCTGGCTTTGTATATGATGAGGCAGTATTTAGTTGTCAGAGTACAGCTATTCTCGTTAAAGTCAATGAAATTTGTTAGTAATAATTATATTGAGCATTGGGCATTGCGGAAAAAATCAATTAGTTATAAGTAATTTTTTAATTAAGTTAGAAACAGTAGGACTTTTTATTTCTATGGAAACAGAATCAAGGTGAGATTTAGTAAGCACAATTAGGTTGTGCATCTTTTGGATATTTCCCCCTCAGAGGGACTAATGTGTTTTGCCCCCCATTTTTCTAGCAGCATTCTAATCTCAATTATGTGATGAATAGGGAATGACTGCTTTTGTAGCCCATGAATAAAGATTACTTTATTGACTATTTGAAGTATGCTAACAAACAGATGGCGAGCAGTTTAGTGCACAATCGCAGTTTTCGTAGGAACAGAATGAAATTATTACTCTTTATTGTTCATACCGAATAACTGGTTAAGATATGGGAGAAACGTTTAGCATATACTTTTATTTTAAGACATATTCGTCACCAGGTACTCACCTTCTCCAACTTGACAGAGTTTTTCACAATTAGCCTTGTAGTATTCATGCAGAATAATGTTTTCCCCTATGATTTAAAACGTACTTTTACTTCGCAACAATAAGCTTTGAAACTATGTTTTAGAGTGAATTACTTTATCTGTCTCGTCTTCTTTACGGTACATCCATGTGTCACAGAGTTCGGAAGTTACTTCCTTCCTTCTCGAGTAATTTAAGTAACATATTGACTAATGATTCACATTATTGACTCTCAGAGGTTTCTAATTTGCTGTGAGTAAAACATTAAGCTGCTAATGATGCTAACCCACTTGTTGAATGAGCCTCGATAGAAGTGATAACTGGCATGACTGTTTCACACAACATATGTCTTGGTTTCTCATAGCCAACGTTCTCCTTGTTTTGATTGCTTTCAGGTTTCTGTTTTGCTTTCTCAGAATTTACGGGTATCTCTCCGACTGCTTAATGGTGAAGAGTAAGAGGATATTTCAAAAATCTAATGCTTTCTTTTAGTTACTGAAGATCTTATCAGAAAGAGAGCCGAACATAATGATGGAAAGATACACTCACTTGAAGAGTTAGCTTTACATCAGCAAAACCTTGAGAGGTATAAATTCTCACTTGTGACCTAATCGATCAAGGATTGAATATATTGAGAAATGGTGCAAAAATCTGCGAATACTGTACCTTCAAAATAATCTGATATCCAAAATCGGTAGTGCTGCATTTTACCAGAGATTCATATATGACAGAAAATTTGTCGAAGCTTAAGAAGTTGGAGTATTTGAACTTGGCTTTGAATAATATTGAAAAAGTAGAAAATCTAGAAGGTTGTGAGTCGATGAAAAAGTTGGATTTAACAGTGAACTTTGTGGGTGATTTATCGAGCATTAAATCTCTAGTAATGTTCACTTTCTTGAAGAACTGTAGGTGAGTGGATACTTTAAACAACGTTTTATATCTTAGTTATCTAACTGGGAATCCCTGCACAGAATATCCAGGGTATAGGGAATTTGTCATTGCTACTTTACCTCAGTTAAAGTAACAATTCGAAATATATTCTTATCTAAACTTCAGTCACTGGATGGGATAGAGATAACTAAATCAGAGCGCATTATGGCACTACAAAATTTACAGCATATTTGTCCAGTCATAGATGAAAAACAACGCGAGCATGAAATAAAAAGAGTAGGTGCTTAAGATTTTATTGCTATCTAGAAATAAAATCATTCAAAATCAATACTACATTCGGGCATTTCCCTTAGAAATCAGAAAAAATGGAAGTAGAACAAAGACGACAAAGACGTTCGGAGAAATCTAGTGATGCATTCGGGTAAGGCGTTACCATATATTTTTATACTATGCAGCCTAATTTATTATGTCATCAGTTGAAAAATTAACATTGGTAGGGGGTTCATTTCGGGTTTTCTCTACTATTATACTTCGATTAACTTAGATTACGCTGATAAGTTACGAACTTAGATGTTCTTAACGGATGTCAGTAATTATTGATGACCATCATCTTAGAATTAAGGCTGGTTAATTAAAGCTATATTTTTGGATGGGAATCATTGAATTTATCCATGTATCCATTTATCCATGAGTATCGTCTCCCCAGAGTTAGTCTTTTTCGTAGTGATCGAGTGGTCACACGTATGTGAAATAAAACATTTCTTTATGAAGTCACTTACTGTTTGTGAAAGTGAATCAAGGTGGATTATGACTTTGATAAATACTCATTGCAATTAAGTATAAATAAATAAAATGGAAATATTTTATAATAACTTCACTGTGGTTTCCATAGTTGTATTCCCACATTTGGAGAAGTGTGAGAACAAATATATTCTCATAACAGTAGGAATTTAGTAACCGTGTAAATTTCAAACCAGATAACTGGAAATTCCTCTTCAGGAAGTAAATAAACGGCAATGTGAAACTCAAGCTAATCAGTTTGGAAACTGAAACGTCTAGTTTAACGTCTCGCTGAAATAGAGATTTCATTACTCAATAGTGTATACACTAAATAAGCATTACATCAGAAAGCACGGTCAACTGCATTTATATTAAGGCCAGATATTAATAGAATACACGTGATCTATTTCAGGCACAGTGAAGTAAATATTGACTGAGAAAATGGTAGCAATTACTGGAAGAGGGATGCTGAGTTCTAGACTGTGATGAAGAAGAATAGCCTGCTTTCAAAGTGAAATTTATCTTGAACGTCTTAGACTCAAAAAATTAACGTGAAGTAAACAAACTCCACACCAACTGATACAGTCAGAAGACTATTTGTTGAACAATTATCAGAAATATGTGAGGCGAAATGGAAACCAAAATGAATAAAGCAGTTTCTGATGACAGATAACAGTAAGTGATGCAAATGAAGCAAAAGATGTATGACAAGCGAAATTGGTGCTCGGAGATCCAAGGTGATATGGTTCAGAATCGATCTCAGAGGTGCAAATACATCCACATGCTATTCTCAACCTAAACCTCATATGGCACTAAATTATTGTTTTAGCTCCTCTCTATACCGTTTGATGACTTTCTGCGAGGTTTAATCAAATTGATATTCCCCATTTCTATATAGTTAGTCTTGATGTGACAGGTTGGGATGTGGCAACTCGGAGCATTACGCGGCAATGATAAGTCCCGTGTTTATATTAACTGACTAACTGAGAACTATGATGTCTTTAAGTATACGCTCAATATTCACAATAATGTTTCTTCTGCTGGTGTGAGTTTTATTATGTACTGCCTAAGTAAGAGTTTTCTAACCGTATGGTTTGATGACTATCCTCGAATAAGTTTGCCTATGGACAGCTTGAACTCATCTGTTCACAATTATGATTACTGAATGGTGAAAACAGTAGTATCATGATTGTTACAACTATGTATAGGCTACGAAGAACCAAACGATCTGGTCTTCATTTCTAGTTTTCATCAGGACACTCTGACGTCACATGGCTTATTCCAATAAATCAAATATGCACTGTACGATGAAACAGAAGCAACAATTACAAACTCAATGTTTTTCGTGGGTACAACTTGACAACTGTCTTTGACGTCATACTTCCTTGTGATCGGCAGAGAGATATAAGCACAAAAGATCTAGTTAGTCAACGAAAGACTGAACGTAACATCAGAAAATGTCATTGGTGAAACATGAATTGAAACCAGAATCTATTATTATGCATTAATAAATTAAGGAGTATTTTTGTATTGCATAATATTCACTGATCTGCATATAGCTGACTGACTAATCATTTCACGGGTGTGCCAACCTTTCAGAAACCACAGGGATTTTTTTTAGCTCAGATGACACTATATTCAGTATTATTAGCTGATAACTGATGCAGTTTTAAGGAAGTTGTAAAGGACACGAAGTTGTACCCAAATTCTGTATTGTGATGACTATTTTATTGAAAAGTGGAACATAACAGTATGGTGAGCATCAGGTGAATTTTATTCGATCAAATTCATTATAATCCGCCTATTACACAAGTCGTTCACTTCCCTTACCTCCATCGAAGTCTACGTGAAACACCTGTATGCGTGATCATTGTTTAGCTGAATATTGCACATTAGTCAAAAACCAAAGCCACCGATGTGCTCAGTAGTGTAATCATAGGAATCACCTTCTCCTGTGAAAAGCTGCATTGCTATTTCAACACTCATGGTATTTCTTGTAATCTCTCCCGTGTGAATGATTGTACCTTACCTTTGTTGTCGTGTCGAACCGAACACCAAGTCAGTCAAACATATTCACAATAAGATATTGTCATGGGATTCCGATGTGGCAAATCACCACCTTGACAGTGTCTTTCATTTATCTTATTATTTTTTAACTCACTGATTGATACATATGCCAACCCATGGTTTCAGTCTAGGTGAAATGTGCTTATTTATTTCCTTATTTTTTAGTTGGACTTCATTTGTTTTAGAATTCAAGGGTGGAGAATGACTCAAGGCCCCAATACATATAATGAGATAACGGTATCTTACATTTCAGAGGAAGTCTTCTAGTGGACTAGTGGATATCGATGAATGACTGACAACCGGTTATAAATCCTGTAGCACGTTAAGTAATAAACTACTTAAGTCATCAGATGGCTCGTTAATTGTTTATATTACAGATTCTATGCCCTGAATTTGTATTGAACAAGAAAACCTGATTGACATTTTCAGTAATGTAAAAGGTGATAGAATGTAACATATCAAAACTGGAAACAGAAAATGGTAGTTATACTTGGCATCTGAACCTCGGCAATTGCGTATTTCAAACTGCCAGCTCTAAACATGAGTTCGGCAATTCTCTCACTACATAAATACTGCCTTTATAACTACCGACTGAAAGAGAATAGTCAATAAGTGTCTTTGGAAGTGAGTCTTTTCTATGACTGTATAAAACAGTGTTATTTAAGCCTGTAAGTTTTTATTCGGGCGGCATAGAAGAGTTTGAAAATAAGCTTACGATATAAATATTTTGGATACAGTTTATCAAAATTTTCAGATTTCAGTTAGGCTAATTACTTTAAACAGAACAGCGAGTTGAGTAGTCCATCCGATGCATGTATAAACAGGCAGAATTCTGGTGGTTAACTACTAATAGTTAACATCGTGTTGTGGTTACTAGATATGACAGGCTTTGATGAAATACAGGTGCATTGATTTGAAAGCTTAGTAAACGCTAATATTTGCTCTTTGCATACAAAAAAACAAATTAAATTATTTACAGTCCCCACTGTGTCGTTCACCAGCGCGAGAATCTCAGAAATATAGCTTCCTCAAGTTTAATTATTCAAAGCGATTGTGTGAAATTGAGCTTCCATTTTATTAAACTCATATAAATCTAACATTCAGCTTTCTTTAGTCTCATTGGCTTCTCCACATAGAGTTGCCAAAACTGGTCAGTTAAGAATTGTCACAACTTTTCACGATAAAGAAATTGAGGCTCCGTGATGTTTAAGAATAAAGTAAATTGACCTAACCCTGTATACACATGTTATTCATTGTAAAGATTTCACAACTGCTATGTCTGGCTGTTGCATACCCTGCTAGGGGAATGATCGATGAATATTTTATCGACGGATTCTTTAATTTATTGATATTTCATAGTTAAGGGTTCTGTGTTAATCAGTTCTTTGTTCTGCTGAGTGGTTTCATTTGTATTTTCGTAGTTTAACAGATCAAGATGGAGAAGATTTTTGGCATGAAAAGGTCCCATACACACCTGAATCGCGTATTGAAATGCATGAACGTATGAGAATGCAAGCAACCCTAAAGGAGTCGAAGAAAGATTCAAGGTATGGTACACACAAGATTTCATCCGAAAATCTCGTTGTTATTTTGTTGTGAGCTTGAATTCATTGACTTGGTGCAATTGTGTATATAGCAGTTAATTGGTCGACAGTTGTTGAAAGAATCACGTTTTTAGCTTCTTATGAGGCGTATACATCTGTAAACACTGATTTTCCGCTATATTTTAAATGTCCTTTCTAGATAGATTTATTTACAGGTACATTGAGTGGAAGTAGTTGAAATGAATTTCTATTCTTCTCCATGGGAAATTGAAAAGTAAAACTGAGTTCCATGATTACGTTTTAATTTTCGTGGCAAATAAAAAAGATGCTTCGCACTGTATTGTTGGTTGAACAAAGTGTGCGAATGGTTAGAATAGAAAATATCATCTTTGATATGTACAAGAAGTCGAATAGATTGACAAGATATCATGTCTAGTCAAGTGTCTACTCCTGCTGAGAATAATGATAGTGGCTGTTTTATCTACCACGTGGGAAGATTACCAAGCCATTCTGATCTAAGGCAACAACAACTCGTAGTACCGAATGTGACAGGCCGATTGCTTTTTTTGATCTGATTCCATTACTGTTGTGGATATGAGATTAATTTGGCACATCCAAACAAAAATGGAATATTTTTGGATGGGATTTTAGTATTGTCTATATTGTATATCTAGGTACTTCGATGACTCTGGGTATGTATTTGGCTTTAGTAGTACAAAGACTCTGGTGTGGCACTTCCATTTGTGTTCATGGTCTTTGGAATGATAACCCTTGAGGAATTAATCCAAATTCACTTCTTCAGAGATGAACTAATTAAACTTTTTCTCTTTCGTCTTTGGGTGATGCTTTTACATCTTCATCAACACGATTTCCACTTGAATGTCTGTCAGAAACCTTTTTGTCTATGAGTGAACACATGGACTCAAAGATTCAGCATATAATTTAGCGTGCATTATTTGTATGTGATGTAAAATTTTCTTTATTTCCATCTGGGGACTGCCACTACCCGGAATGAATTGGAGATGGTTAACAACATCCCAAAGATTTTCATCAAATTTGCAAAATGGGCATGCAGCTGTAAATTCAGGAATGAATACAATAATAATAGTAATAATAATGATAATAATAATAGTGACCATAATTATTCCAATTATTATTATTCATCGTATGAGGTATATTTTACTTGTGCAATCTCAGCCTAGTGAATAAGAAGAAATAAAATGAACAAATGTTTTCTCGTTGTTATTCGTCGTAGACTGACGTCAGTTGGAGGAACAAGGAAACCTGGGGCACTGATGTCAGTCTACGATGAATAACAACTTGAAATATTTCCAAATCCCCACAACTCCCTCAAAATTCAAATATTTTCTCACTATTCCTCAACGTTTTGATTTTGCTAGGAAGATCCTTTTCAAGAGTATGAACCTTACATTAAGTTTTCATGTTGATATTCAATTTTTGGTACAGAAGGTGACGTTTACGACTGTAAAACTACATCGTAATATGAAAAAAGACAGTATAATATGGGTGAGTGAATCAACAAATCGGTTAGAGAAACTTTTTCCCGTTGTGCGAATAAGGTGGAAGAAAAATGGGGTGGGGAAATTTAGTTCGACTATGAAAGTACAACGGAGTTGTGAGTCATCAAAAACGAGAAACAATAAATTACTATTTTGGAAGGATGAATTTTTGATTATCAAACAATCAGTAATAATGACGATAAAGGTACTTATGATTACAGCTGAAGTGTGGATAATAAAATGGATTATGTAATATATATAATGGTTCATGCAGTGTATATAATTCAGAAGGAGCGTAAAAGTGATGAGAATGGTAGGTCAATAAAGTATTGTGTAATAGCGATAGACAAGTTGTTAAAATAAAACCAATATTCTTTGAAGTGATTATGACGATTAAGGGAATTAACACTGGAACCATTCAAACACTAACAAATCATGTGGAATAATGTGAAATGAAGTTATGTTCTACCTTCTCTTTATGAATTATTTGAAATTATCTATTATTATTGCTGCTATTATTATTATTACGAGGTTTATATCCCCAAAATTAGGTATTTGTGATCATTCTACTACTTTACTTCGATACATACCATTCAACTCCTAGTTATCTGATCACCGCAGATTTAATATTACGTTACGTAGTGCATCGTTTTTGTAATTGGTCTATTTTCGGTAACTACCTAGAATTAACGAAGCATAAGCCTATCACTTATGAGTCGACGCAACAAAGGCACTTGTAAAATGAGTAAATTAATAACTGCTCATGGTGAGTGGCGTGCAACAGCTGCAGAGAGTATTTTAAAAACGCTGAATACGAGGCTTTCATTGAACGTGATTCACAGGTACAATAAAAATCTAGTAGTTACTGAATTGTGAGCACCCCACTAGTTGCTATCTCACGTTATAGTTCAACTAACTTATAGCTTGACTAGTCACATCAATGCTGGTTGTAACAGCAGTTATTTGAATGCTTATATTTATCCCTACAAGTTGAATCGATAATGTCTTGTGATAATTTATTTTTGGTTACTATCTTTTCCTCAGAAAGACATTTTCAGAGGCTGAGAATCCTAATTGAGGTAGAATATTTGGAGTGCGGAGAATAGATCACTCTTTTTATTTTGATGCAAAATCTTTTAAATACACATGTTCATTCACTTTAAAATTTGAATACTTTCAGCCTGAAAAAGAACGAAGGTCCAAAGCTTTTTGCCGAAGATGGGAGACCGTACAATATCAACAGAGCTAAGTGAGAATGTGTTTTCGTTGAAAAGAAGAGGTTTATTTCTTTGCACCCAATCGTTATCATAAAAAAACTACATACATTCTTTTTATTTATTAAAAACTGGGATTGGCCCTAAGAGGGTTAGTATTTCCGTACATTCTTGTTCGCAATATCGGGCCTGTTAGATGACATCACATGAACTGATGTGTGCATTGAAACGATCGGCATATTTGAAGATTATTGAAACATTGGTGCATAGGAGATTTTGTTGGGTAATATCGAACAAAAAGGAGATACTCAAAGTAATGCATATAATCTGTAAATGTCCTTGCACCTTAGTACAATACTCCTATTTGCCAACATACGAACTAACGTGTAAGTAGTGATTTTGCCGAGTGAAAGGCAGAGCTAGATAATAAATCACTAATGACCATCTGTATGTGAACAAGTAAATCTGCTTTTAGGTATCACGGTTTTGATCGTAAAGGGTTTGCGTCTTGCTATGCCTATCAGGAATTCTAGGATTTTCCCACATTCCAATTGTCAGCTCAGCAGCAAGTTTTCAAAATGCTTTCTTCAATTATAATTCCATTTTAATAGCTCTTTTTTTATTTGAATCATACAGTACTGCTATTTAAATGATAACACTGTTTCACTGTGATACACATTGATAAGAACTATAATGAAATTGTACTGTACCATACTACCTAAGTTAATGAATAAGGATATGATTTGTTCCCATTTACTGTTCAACCATACGGTGGTTTGTACAGGTTTTATTCGCTGAAGAAGCTGCTTCCACGATTTCGCGAAATGTCAGAAACTCATTTTCTCGCCGGATTGGGATTTTTCAAATATTTTTCCCTGATAAATTAGTTAGTGTTCTACTTGTTCAGTTCTACCACGTCAAATTTCGGTCCTGAAATATACAGACGGAAACTATGGTTGGTTTATATCTTATGTTTGCTAACGTGATGATTGTTCCTTTGTTCTCTATTCACATCATGTTATCATTTGAGTGAAATTTGTTCTTTCCTAACCTCTTACATAGCTGACGCGATACAACTCTAGTGAAGATACATGCATTCGTAAAGCATGGATTCACTGAGACAAAAAATAAATATAGTTAGTTTCTAAACACTGAAGATGATCTGAGCTACTTTGAATAGAGAACAACAACTCCATGGAGTTATGATAAAGGCATGAAGATGTTTAAAACCGTATTGTATGCAATTGTGCCTGACTCGATCTCGACACAAAGCAGTGATGCCATAGAGGTTCATTATTTTGGTAAAGCAGTTGATCACAACAGGTTTGCAACCTACTTAGTCTGTCATGTTTGAGACTGCAAGGTAGCGTGATCAAAGTAGCTATACTATAGCTTTGTACGAATACTTGTTCGAGATTGATGTGTCGCATTTTTGTTTCTCGTTTTACACCAGCTAGTGTAATGTACTGACATAAATGGCGACTCTGCAACGTAACACATATCCTGAACACTTATTTCGATATACTTTCACAACTCTATCGAATGATCTACCTTCTTTACTTAGCAATTTACACCAGGTCTTCACAACACTGAAGATGCCGACAACGAAACACCTCTAATGTTTAGGTATTACTCACTTTGAACGATGACGTTTATTAGCTCGTCTAGGGCAGAGCTCATTTGCAGTGCTTTCGCAAAATTTCAGCTCATAGAGCCAAATTAGTTCACATCACTTGAACCTGACTAGCTTTCTTGCATGAACCGGTATATCTAAAATAGGATGATCAATTTGCCAAGTATTCGCAAATTGCACGGTCCACGTTGTCAGCTGAGTAGTTTTTCAACCGCTAAACTATGGTGTCAACAAGGTTTCCGCTGGAAACTAATCAACTAACTGAGATCGCAAGGTGGGACCTCTGACACAAGTGTCATGAACTAGACACTGCTGGACGACTTGAGTAGTTAGTTAGTGTTGGCTAATTGGTTTCCAGCGGAAACCTTGTTGAAACCGCGGTAGGGCGGTCAAAAAACTACTCAGCTGTGATAAATGTCAACGTGGACCGTGAAATTTGTAAATCATTCGCAAACTGACATCTTACAATATCCTAAGCTTCATCATTATGTTTGAAGCTGGCTGCGATGTTATATTACACCAGTACAATCATTAAAGTTACTAGTTTTCCGAAACATCTTCATGTAACTTACTCAGTAATCAAACTAGTCCCTGGAGCGCTTCTGAGTTACAGATCCTCTCAACGGACAGCAACGTACGAACAGGATTTTTAGTAGTATGCTTTACTGCTGATTCAGGTATATACATTTTCATTCGATACAATGTACGGTTGGCAATAAAGTATGTAATTATGAGAGAAATAATCTGCTGATATCCTAAACAGTGATTGGTAATGGTAGAACCATTCTTGTGGCAGCCACAAGATTAGGTCATCTCATTGGCTTTGGTTAGCACTGGGTATCTGAGCAAATTGGTGTTATTCACTTCACAGTTCCAAAATGTGGTCACCGTGATGAGTTCGACTGGTTGTGATATATTCTTTTAGCTGACTCAACCACCAGCTAAAATGACTTATGATCAAAATATAAATATTCGCAAGACCACTGGGGGTTTAAAGAACCCGTTGAAACCATATTCATCGATCATTCCTTAAAGAATGACGACGTAACGTGCAACTCGAAGTGTCTGTATGCCTAAGCTAGTTTCAGCGAAATTTCCAAACAACATTTACTAACTGAAGAGGGAAGACACAATGAAGAGTAATCAAAATCACAGTGAAAAATGACATTGACTACTGGGCAAACACAACTGCACAACCAGTAATCACAAGACTACGCATAAGAAAATGTACACTCGGTATCCTGTACAGTTCAACTTCAGGCTGATTTTACCCATCTCTCTGATCACACTAAAAGAACTGGAGGGTTGTGGGTTGAACTAGCGTTTCTCACACTTTCAACGCCATATGGAAGATCATGCAATTTCCATCTGTTCCGTTCAGTGACGTTATGGTGTCTTTGCAACAAACTGACACTGCTCGGAACCGATGGAAACTATACACCTGAACTTAATGCGCGTGATCTATGAGACCTTGAAAATGTGAGAAAGGCTAGTGCGGAGTTGAACACTGAAAGGAAACTGAAAAACCCCTAAATCCTTTGCTGGGTATTTATAGCATTTAGGAAGCCGAGAAATTAGAAATGAAATTAGGTAAATGTAAAACCCTGTCAAACGTTTTTTTTTCATTTCAGAATGCAATGAAAATAATTTATCCTGACTTTGTTTGACTGATTTGGTATTCACTTAGACACGGCAGCAAATATTCATTCACGTTAGAGATTAAAAGACATATCGTGAGTGCTGAAATGGCATTGGAACTTTATGCATTAGGAGTGAATTCTTGTGATGTGCTTGGTTTTTGATTTCGGTGCTGAATTTAGCTAAGCTGTCATCACACCCACATGGGTTTTACGAAAGTCTAGATGAAGGGGACGTTCAGTGAACGTCTTGAGTAATGATAGGTGGATTACAATGAATTTGCTAGGATAAAATTCACCTGATATCCATAATATTGCTTTGTATTGGGGAGTGGATTTCTCACCGGGCCAGAAAAATTTGTTTTCTACTGTTGCTGTTATATTTGTTTGCGATATAAAAATGTCCGTTTTGATGCTTGATCTGTTTTTGTGGTTGGCCGTCTTCCACCTCCTTTGCTTTGTTTTTTCAAGATTTACTTGGTTTATTTAAATTGACGCTGAAGATTGTATGGTTCTGTATTAAACGTTGCTAGTACTCTTCCAAATGTAAAATCAAAGGATTTAGAACGAAAAATCACGTTGATATTGATAACCTGTTACTCGCACTTTTGAAAGATTTTGTCTGGAAACTTTCTCGGCAGTCAGTTATTTTTGAAATTGGTCATGAAGCTTATAGCCACATTTTTTTCATGGTTGTTCACTGATTTCCAGTCAGTCAATCCGTCTGTGTCATTCAGTCAATATGCACATGAGGCCTCTCATTAGTCTTGGTTGTATTGTGTTCTCTGAGCTGGGTTGTTTAGTCGATTAAACAACCCAGCTCAGAGAACACAATACAACCAAGACCATCCACTTTAGCTACAAATAGTCTCTCATTAGTGTTTGATGAAGACAAAGGTAAGCAAAATGAAAGACATTAAAGTAAGACAAGATAATTTAATGGAAATCAGGGGACTTATGATACGAATGAGGGTAAAACGATTATGAAGTGCAAAATGACAATATTTGCCTACATCTGCACCGCTGAGATCGATCCGAAGCAATGTTACCTAGATTCTCCAAACGGCAATTTAGATTGCTTCGTGAACCTCAACCGGAAAGTTCACATTTTTCCATACGCTTGAAGCAGCAGTTGGAAATTTTGTTCAATAACAGAATGCTTTAGTTTTTTCACCTGAATCAACCCCGATTTGGAACCTTATCCATTGGCTTGCCTCTTGTTAAAAGCTCTACACATGACGCTGCATGTAATGACT